TAATTTTCAGACATAACATCATGAAATAAGAATGCATGGCCAATTATGCTTTGTTATGAAATGTCCCATTTATTATAATTAGGGCCTTGTGCAAGTACTAAATGCCTATGACCGCGAGGAGCTGAGAGAGCAACCCAAACATTTAGTCCGACTATCTCATGGTCATAATTAGGTCCCGTTCATTTCACCAATTCGAGTTTAGAATTCGAGTTTTGCTACAGTAAAAGGCTCTCAGAAACAGTCACATCTAACTTTTTTGCTATAGTAAAAAGCTCTCACATAAAATCACGTCTCAACTCGAATCAACAAACTAAACGGGCCCTTAATTTATCTTGTTAAACTCCTATTGCCAAGAGACGGGGAAATTTTAACCTCCCACCCCTCAAGGCTACCAAGGGTCGGAGGAATTTCAACCTCTCATCCCCCAAGGTTAGAAGGTGGCGCGACACTGAATTTATCTTTTTATTACCTTAGCCTCTTATTAAAGTAAACATGTGATTATGATCATGTCACAAAAGTAATTATTTTAATATACTTTGAACAAGAGGCATGCATACAGTAAACACATCATCATTCATGTTACTAAGAATAAATGCAGTAAAATCAAGCAGGCAAGTTTCTCAAGCAAAAGCATTTTAAAACAATTCATGTTGTAGGTGAGGTTTGTACTTACCTAGGCGTCAACACTTAGCAATTACCCACAACAAACTTTCCTTGTAACACAGTGGTTCTGTATTCAATTGGTACTAACAACAGGCTGTCAGTTCATTACCGAGATTTTCACTTAATTTAATTAAGTCTTATGAATTTAGTCTCATTGACATTCCTTAGGATTAATTAATTGTCCTTCTCTATAATTTAATTACATTTTCTAAATAATTAAACTAATTAGGTTTATTAATTGGTTAGATAATCCTCCTTGATCTTTATTAACCAATTTGGGTTAATTTTTCTTCTTTTAAATTTAATCATATGAATTAACTAATTAATTTCACTAATTAATCACTTAGCTTCTTCTTTAGCTTTATTAACCAATTAGGTTAATTATTTCTGCTAATTTCTCACTTTAACTTTTGTTCATAAATAATTGATTAATTAAACTAAATAATTAATTAATTATCCATGTTTTTCTTGCTAATTAGTTTCTTTACCTTCTATGGGTAATTTATTGATCAACTATTTAATTATCCATTTAAATTCGACTTGCTATAGTTAATAGCCGTATTAATTAATCACATTAATTAACTGATTAATTGCCTGATTGAGTTTTAACTATACTAATTATCTAATAGCCTCGAGATTTATCTTAAGTTAATTCCTCATAGGTTTACTTCTAATTTCCCATCGGCTTATCGTTTAGATTTACTTGGGCCCATTTCTCAAACCTTTCTAAGGTTGGTTTGGGCTTTTGAGGTAAGGTTTTAACCACATAACCTAGTATACTTCCTTAGTGGTTAACCTATGGTTTACTTTATCAATAGTCCCTTTGTTAGCGTTTATGCCCTTAGGAATAAATGTAACAATATTCTTTGAGACATTTTGACTACTAATAAAGATTTGTTTATTTCATATATCTATGTATTGTCCTCTTTATGTTCATAATAATTGAATGTATGATAAGCAAACTGAAAGTCTGAGACTGTCATTCTAAATCTTTAGGTCATGCATGTAATGTAAAGAACATGCGGAAGACAAGCATCTAAAGGACAAGAATCTAAAGATGATGGTCTAAATCTTATGATCCACAATCGAGGGAATAAAGTTGGGCGCTTTATTCACGTTAAGATTGTTATGTTGTCTACTTCCTAACGGAGACGGCTTGTCTTGGTCGTCGGAGGTGGGACTCCATGGGTGGAGACATTGATATAGTTTCTAATGGTGAAATCTATATTGGATCGGACCAAAGTTGAATTGTTTTAATTAATAATTCTGTTTGAATAAAATAATTCACTTTTGATGAATTATATGTTGTCATCTTAATCCTGAGATGAATGATGAACCCGTATGCTTGACTTTTATCCTTTGATGTACTAAAGGGTGACATCATGACATTATGCAAAAGGTACGCTTGCCGGTACATTAGGGGTATGACTCGTGTATGCGTAGATTCGTTATTCATAGATAGTGGAATCCATAGCTTATGCATTATCAGTAGATTGAAAAATACGAGCGCTCGGCCATTAGACTACTCTGTGTTATCTAATGGTTTACTGTTTGTTATGGTACGAATAGTATTTTTTCGATGGCATGATAATGGAACATAAGATAAATGTAATTGGGAAGGTAAAACGAAACTTGACCTCAAGTCGATTATGGATATCCTATGGGGATGATACACTAATATATTGAGTCATCGACTAGAGCTAATCAGAGCCACTAGAGTTTTATAACCAAGAAACGGACCTGTTGGTTTACAAGTAGCGTTGTGATTATAGGAGCTTGATTTATATATGTCCATCGGGTCCCTTTGCTAGCTCACATAATTTTCTGTAACGATACGGCGTATGTCCTACACATTGGTAACGTGTGTTATTTCCGTAAAAGAGGTTCAAAGTTAATTCATGGGTGATTTATTGGGTGAATTAATTGATAAATTAATTCTAGATAAATTGGTTGAATTATTGTTTTAAGAGTTGTTTAATATGAGAAGACTATTATATTACTGTTTTGATCAGGCAATTTCTTTATTAGGTTGCTTGAATCAAAACTGAGACTCTATGCAAGTTTTCCGTGTTGAAAAACTAGGAAAACAACTTTCGTCATTGCAGACAGGTCGACCGGTTAGTGAAGACTAGTCGACCGGTGAGTTATAACGTCTCTATCACCGGTCGACCGGTTGTAACGAAAATGCATGTTGACGTGGTAAAATTGACTCTGGATGCGATTAAGACTTTGAGAAACCTAATTATTACGGAAGTATGACTTCCTAAACACTATAAATAGCCGATCAAGTCACATTACTCAGTAGATCATTAGAGAGACTTTTTAGAGGCTATTGATAAAAGATTCCTGAGAGGAAAAATTATTTAATTCTCAAGAACAATTTTTTCTTTGGCTCTCTTGTGATTGGAATGAGATCAAGAATACCGAGAGGAGATTGAATGATGTGTGTCCACCCACACTCCGATCGTGGAAACGAGAATAGCAAAGAAGACTAGTTGGTTGAGGCTCTTCCAGTTGCTGTTTGGAACGCTTTGATCTGTCAGACGTGCAGTTTTCTACATTTCAAAAGGTATGATTTAGATCTTTAGTATTTATGTTATATAGCATCATGAATATGTTCTTAATTAACTTTGACGTTGATTAAATTTTTTAAATTTTACTGCTCACTCGATGTCATTATTTTCCAACACCCTGACTTAATTACTTAATCGGTTATTTTAAATTCACCTAAAGGTTACTTTAACTCCTACTTGGACTTTTGGGCCATCTTCTTAGCCTAATTGGGTCATCCAAAAGTTTTCTCTAGTCTTCTTAAGAATTCGGATTTGATCGAAGTGACCTGAAATGACGTGAAGTTAGTTGACGGTTTTATCCTCAAGAAAATTACCGTTTTACCCCTAGCGGGTCTTGACTTGACGACCCTTGGGCTTAGTTTACTCAAGTTGACACGTGAATGTAAAGATTAAGCGACAAAATCTGACGCAAATAAATAACATAATAAATGTGTTATTTTATTTTGTGCTACAGTATATAATGTTATTTCAAATATTATATATACTTATCTGCTATTTTTATTTTGTACTTTAATATATAATATTATTTTAAATGTTATATTTATTTTTTGTTATAATAATTAATCTTTAAAAGTTGTAAATTAAATTCTTAATTTTAAAATAAATTTAAAAATATAAATATTATAATATGATTCAATAAGAAGTTAAAACATCTACTAATAACAACCAGTTGCTAAAGTATTATATATGTTATATTTGGTGTCAAATCTTTTACGAAATAAATATACGTTAAAATTTAACATAAACATATTAATTTAATATTATATTAGAGATGCTCTAATAAGTTTAGATTTCTATCAACGTTGAGGATGGGAAAGTTTGCCGCGATATCAAAATAGTAATCCTTGTCGTCATTTCTCCATCTCAATATCTTGACCTGGCTACACTCTCCCCTTTTGGTTCAAATTTCTTTTCCACTCACTCACTTTTTTCTGTGGCTCTATATTTTTGTCGTTTCCCTGTTGCCAAAAGGAAACCAAATAGCATCTATCAAATTATACCGATATCATGATACTCATTATATCGGTATACGGTGTCAAATTAAGCAACGGTATTAATCATGAAAAATTAACTATTCAAGGAATTAAGCAACAGTACCAAATATATTACTAATTAATTTAGCCAAATAGGTATTAAAAAAATAATAATTTTCTATTTTTAGCCGTCAAATTTTAATAAAAAATTATTTGTCTTATATAATTTTTTAGTTTAATGTAATTTTTTTTTTATTAAATTTAACAATCAGAAACAAACAATATTTGTAGGAGTCCCTACTGTAAGAGATCCGTAATATATTTGGTACTGGTTTCCAACTTTTTTAATCCTCTATTAGTTTTGAACGTTTAAACTTAGAGTGAATTCCACAATCGACCTATTTTATCCTCAAATACCAAACAATTATTATAAGTTTTGCAATTTATCCACTATTCCAATCACTTCTTTCTTTTCTTCCCAATACGTGATAACAATTTTAGAATGTATAATTAGAGGTTTAAACTCAGGATTTCCTACAATGTTAATTTACCAAATTCTCTCAAAGCCTTGAGCTGTCAAGAAGTGATAAAAGCATAGGGTTTTAATTTTAACAAAGGCCTAAGTTCACGCTGTTTTATTTATAGCAAATTCTCACTACTTAAAAAAATAATAATAACAAAAACACTTTCTTTTTATTTATAGCATTTGAAAAAAAAATAAATAAATCTAGTTTTTCTGCAATTAACATGTATAGGAATTAAACGAGAGCATTATGAATATTGTAATTACCGAAGGATAAGGCCACATGTGATGATCGTTCCGCCATTCTAGAAGAGTTGCCCTTGCAGGCTTTGGAAGCTCAACTTTCTTTCTTTTCTTGAGAAATTCAGTCTTCAACATGGTAAGATAGCCGCTGTACTTCCTCAGTAGCATTTCTTTGATGTCTGCTGCTTGCTCACCTACAACACCCACACCATAACTATCCTGCTCACAGCTTTCCGGACGTTCTAATTCATTGTCAACTTCCCCATAAGGCGCCATAATCTCCTTCTGATCATCCGAATCTGTTCCGGCCGCTTCATGATCTGATCAAAAGATCATGATATAATTATTTGTAGCAAGTCAGTTAAGTGTCTTTTTTTTTTTTTTTTTTTTTTTTTTTTTTTTTTTTTTTTTTAGCAAAAAAGAGGATCATTAGTATTATCTCGTTCCTCATCCCCTCCGTCGCCTTGCAAAAACCAGAAGCTTACCAATAGAAGGGAAATGATCTAACTCAATCTACTTGAAGGATACGCATATTTTTCACTCATGTCACCACACCCCAACGCCGCTCAATAAATTGACTGGGGAAGGGTCCTAAATTAGAGTTATGGAGTTTCGAACCCTAGACGCAATCTGGGAGGAGAAGAAAGAAATGTATCCTTATCACTAGATCAACTCATTGATAGTTAGTTAAGTGTCGGTAAAATAAGTCGGTAACAATCTCGATTTCGAATTCATAGTGTAACTCACCATTTAAAAAGAATATAAAAACACTTCACATATATATATGGTAAATTATGTAGCAATATTTCATGTATATCTGTTGGTAGGAAAAACTTTATGAGAGTTTATACTCTCCACCATTGATCATGTCATTATCTTCTAACTCTAGCTAGTTTAAGAGCACTAGAAGTAGAGCAGAATTATATATGTGGACATGGAAGACAATATTGTTGAGGAAAAAAAAAACACTTAAAAAATTACAAATAGAGGAAAAAGAAAAAAAGAAAAAAGAAAATGTGCGTACCAGAGTGATCATCCAAGATTTTGGTAAATGCTCCTTCACAAAGATTGTTGAGTTGCGACTGAATGTTGCTAACGAACACGGTTGCTTCATTAAACTGCTTGGATAGTTCCTCCCTGAATCTTTGAAGAATCTCACGGTACGATTCCTTTTATTAAAAAAAAAATAGAAATTTCATTCCAATTATGAAAGAAAGGAAAAAAAGAAAGTAAAGAAAAGAGAAAACCCCACTCAAACATTCAATAAATTAAATCATTAGAGATAATTATTGCACATATCCAAGTTTAAGTTCATTTATAATTTATATCCAAGACCATTTCTTGTATATTAAATGGAATAGAATTATATACATGATACAATATTATTTAGCTCAAAATTTTAATAATTTTAGTCCATATATGTCATAATCCTTTTTTTTTTTTTAAATGAAAATTTATACCATGAAATTGTCGAGTTCTGGATCAGCTCCTATTTGACTGCTGCTTCCGGCGCCTAAGCCTAAGGTGTGGTTCTCTCGCCTGATTTCTTCAAGAAGTGACACCTTCTCCGGTGGTGCACCAACCTACAAACACCCTCCAAAAATAATAAATGAATTAATAAATACAGAAACTTGATAGAATTTGTTATTATTATTTTTTATTTTTTTTATTTTTTTTTTTGCGGACAAGCTAATTTTAACCTACTATTTGGTGTCTAAAATGAAAGAGTTTCTTTTCCGTGTAATGACCTTTTGGCATTCAATGTATGCAGCGACTAAATCAGGATAACCAGGGTGTTTGGCTATCTGGATCTTGATCAGATCCGAGGTATTCTCTGAATCCGAGGCCATTTTTTCAAACTTAAGCCCCTGATCATTATCGTCATGATCATCACCACCACCACCACCACCACCATCATCAAACAGTGGACCACAGAACATAGAAGTGTTCCCTGTGCTTGTTACAATATGTTCGATCTGATCAACAGTACTGCCATAAAACCCTTCCATATCTCTCCCAAAATTACACCTTAGAGAGAGAAGCTTCGAATTAGACGAATTAACATCTACCCCATTATTACGTAGAACTCTCTAACAAGCAGTAAAATATGTTGTAAATAATGAAAAGGGATCAGTTTTTTTTTTTTTTTTTTTTTCCACTGAGATATAGAGAAACCACAGTAAACAAAAGTAGAAGATCAAGAAAGAAAGAGATAAGATGAAGAGAGAGAGAGAGAGAGAGAGAGGACTGAAAGTGAAACAGTACTAGATTTGACAAGAACGAAAGGATTGAAGAGAAGCCTCGTATTCAGTCTCTTCAATTCTCTGCAACAATGTTGCAGTGTGTGACTTGACAATTAGCTGCTACTTTACGATAATATATTATTGACCTGAGACTGCAACTATAATGTATGGAACTACCTCACAAGTTTCAGAACCGTATATTTTGAATTTTCCATCTCGTGCATACTTCTTTTTTTTTTTCTTTTTCATAAATATATTGTGCATGTGCATAGTACATTACTACCAGTGGTACTGTACCTTTTTCTTTCTCCTGTTCTTTTCACGCTAACTTGACCCGAACCCTCCAATGGGATAAAAAGGACACGAGGAACAAAGATGGTGTTCTCGTAGGGTTAAGATATTCGTATTTTGGCTTTTTTATACGACTACTTCCTCAACTTTAGGCTTTGACAAATTGGTCCTTCAATTTTTAATTTTGACAATTCATCTTTTAAACTTTAAAATTTGTTACAATATTGGTCAAATTCAAAATAAAGTTAAAAATTTGTACCGTTTCTTCTAGATGAATATTTAATGAGGCTAATTCTAGTCTTTTGCTGTGAATTGGTCCCCCTATGTACACATCATAAGTGAAAAACTTTTTTAAATTGAGGAACTCTTAATTTTTCCTCCAAAACGGCTAATCTCTAATTTCAAAAAAAAAAAAAAAAATTGCTTATGATATCCACACTAGGATCAATTCAAGGCACAAAAATAATCAAATTAGTCTTATTAAACGGTCACGTGGAATAATCATCCAAACTTTTAACTTTGTTTTTAACCAACATTGTAACGAATTTTAAAATTTAGGGAGTAAATTGCTAAGATTAAAGTTTGAGGGATCAATTTTCCAAACTTATAAAATTGAGGGGGTGTCAGTACAAAAAAAATTCGTATTTTTCATGTCTCATTGAGAGTTCCCAATTTATTTTGACAACACAATTAATAATTTTTTTTTTTTTTTTTTTTTTTTTTTACGAAAAAAAAGGGGGCTTCCCCCCTTTTTTTTTAAAATAAAAATCAATTTTTATTTTATGAATTATTAGCACCATTACGTTACGTTCTAAATTATAAGTATTGTAACACTTTGGTACCTCGACTTTTTGACAAATTATTTCCTCAGCTTTGTTTTTTTTTTTTTTTTCCATATTTGATCCATGACACAAAAGTTGACAAATGATTTTTAAAATTTAGCAGAAATAATAGCATTTCTATAACATAATAGTTGAGAATTTCACAGAAATAGTCACATTAGCCAGGTGCGACATGTTCTAACTTCCAATGATACGTATTTAACAACAATAAAGAAAATATTTTGCACTTAATGTAATTCTTTCTTTTAAATTTTAAGTTGCAATGAACACCTAGTTACCTTTGCTAAATTACATAAATATGTCATCAACTTTTATGGTCTAGGACGAAAACGACTTAAAAAACAAAAGTTCATAAAGTAAACTACAAAACAAAAGTTTGGAGATAAAATATCATAATACTCATAGTTTAGGAGTAGCATTGCTAATAAGTAATAAACATTAATTTTGGTCACGTGTGTCCTTTCTTTCTTCCTTTCCTTCTTTATTTATTTTAAAGTCTCATTAGTTCTTCCCATGAGCCTTATTTTAGAATATCTAGGTTTGTAATCCATCTCATAATAGCATCTCACTATTCAGCTACACAACGTTTCACCCTAGAGATGTCAAATGGACTGTATCGTGACAGCCTAATCCATTATTGTCGCAGCTCATGTCCATGCTGATTCATTAATAATTTATTAATAAAGTAATTATATGAAATGCCTATGGTTGAAGCCTTAATTTTAAAAATATCAATTATTATATAATATTATAAAAATACTAAATAAGACATATATGTTATCGGATATGTCCTTATAACTTATTTTGGTATATGTTCCATCTATATATGGATAATTTTTGCTTTATGTAATCTGGTTGTTTTTTTTTTTCTCATAATATTCCACATATTTACTTTCTTTTTTAGTTCTAATTGAAAATTGTCTGCAAGTAATTATTTTATTTATTTTTATTTTTATTTTTATTTTTATTTTTATTTTTGGTGAATTGTGAATAACATTTTTATCTTTCTTCTCTCTCAGCACCATACTTGTACCGCATTTTCCTTTTGACGATTTGCACCGTTTTATAATTACAGTTTGTAATAAGGTTTTGCTTCTGGTTCTTCATTGAGGGCATTTGATTTGCAGGTACGTTGCACTTTTTTGGCCTTTTTTTTTTGTTTGAAAACAAAACCTTTTAAGAGGACTACTAATGCCATGAGATGTTTTTGTATGCTTGCTTTTCATCTTTCTTTGTGGTTCTTCATTGATAGCATTTGGTTTACTGGTACGTTACCCCTGTTTTTGTTTTTTTTTTTCTTTTTTGCTTGTGTTTTTTTTTTTTTCATTTTTCTTTCATGTTTCCACACAATTTCTATTCGGGTTTATGATATTGTAGAATATTTTTATTTTTGATAGTTTTGATATTTTTTTATCATCACAAAAACTTCTATTCTTTATGATAATACTTGTATTCACATTTTGTTGTACATATTTAAAATTTCTTTTACTAGTATTCATATTTTGGAGTCTTTTTTTTTTTTGAATGGAAATATTTTTGTGACTTTATGTAAGACTTTTTGTATTTTGTCATTATCATAAAACCTTTATTTTTTATTATTATCGTCATTATCCCATTTTATTCACTCATTTTTCTTCAATATCATTATTTTAATTTTTCAATATATTTGGTAATGAATTTTTTCAAGATTTGATCACTTGTACCTCATGTTTATAACATGAGTTATAATTCTGTTTTCATTATTACAATGAGGATGTAAATACGTTAATGAAAAGCTTTCAACTCATTATTTTTCTTTATAATGTTAACATCCTAGTTATAATGAACTCGAAACTTGTTCGACACAATCATTTAAACCATTTAATTATAAAAAATTACATATACATTCATTCTCATGTGGAAATCATACATTCATTATCCTTATGCACTCCTAATATTCTTTTTATAAACAAAATATATGCATTCATTTTCATAGTGAATAAGTCATTATCGTACAAATCTTTATTGTAATTTCGTATTCATTTTATTAATGAATGTATTCAATAAAGTGGGGATTAATACGTCTATAAGGGAAGTGATGTTTTTGGTCATAACGTTTTTTATTTTAAAAAATACTCATTTTAAGAATATTACAGTTTCATTATGCCTTATCTTTTATCTTTTGACTTTCTCTTTTTAAAAACATTAAGGGTTCTTCAAATGTAATAATTAGATATTTTTGATTTTTTTTCTTTTTAAATGCTGATTTTGATTAATATTTAGGTGTTACTTTTGTGTTTAGTTGCTGATTTTGCTATATTTGTTTCCAATTTTTTTACCTACTTTGTTCTTTAATCATTTTTTCTTTTTTTTTTTTCATTATATGAAGATATAATTGTCTTTATATATGTGACAATGAATTGTTTTGTAAATAAACAAAAAAATAGACATTTTTAGACACAAGATGCTCATAATAGGCATTTATGTAACAACTCTAATAATTTTGGCAGTTCATGCCAGACCCGTTTATGACATAAGTTTGACATTAGGCCTGACTCACGATCCATTTAAATTTGTGTCATACTTTGATTATATTCTTATCATGCCCAATAACAAAATTATAAATAAATAAGAAAAATAAGAATTAAACATGCACAAAAAGAAACATTAATTTTTAACATAACAAGGCTTACCAAGTAAAAATTCAAGTGAGATAAAAACTTGTTAAGAAAAAGATAGTATATTATAAAAAGTCAATATAATTTATAAAACATACATAATAACATAAAACAATGTCGTGACATTGTCGTGCTAATGTGCTTCGTGCCAAAAGTTACTCGAGCTCAGCTTATTTAATAATGTTATTGTGTCATGATACACCCTCTAGATGCATAATATAGAAAATTATTAAATTTATTTTTAAAAGTGTATAAGTCTGCATTTATACTTCTTACTCTCGATTAATATCTTTTTGTTAATATAGTTATTTGAGTAAAAAGAATATTAATTAAAAATAAAGGGTAAAAATTAAGACCCATATACTTTTAAAGAGTATTTATGAAGATTTCTCTTTATATAATCTTACTATACGATGAGATGGGACCAAATACATCTTTTGGGGATTACTTAACAAAATACGTATTTTTTGGAGTACTTGAACCACATACATCTTGGTAAATAATTTGAATGCCTATCTCTCTATTGAAACATGCCAAACTCTAACTTGGTGTGTTGGATAGAGTGTAGGTACTAAAATATGGATTAGAACTTAAAAGTACCTTTAGCTTGTAAGTTTTAAAAATAAAAATGAAAACTATAGAAGTACCTTAGCTTGCAAGTTTTAACATTTTAATAGGAAAGTCTTTTTATAATGTATTATGCTATTTTTTCATGAAATTTGACATATGTTATATCTGGCATCAACTTTAATACTAAATATAGTATATGTTACATCGTGATATTTTTTTCATTAAAGCATAAAAAATAAAATTTTTAAATTATACTAAAATTATAATTATAATTTTATAAATTTCAAAAGTTAAGAAATATTAAAAAAGTAGATATATCATTTGAAGGGTGTGGTTGTAATGGTTACTCGAATATTTACCCATCAATAGGTATTGTTATTTTAGTCGTAAGATATTGATATGACGATTGTAATAAATTAGATAGTTGATCAAAAAATTAATGACAATTAGTGAAAGTAGATTCTTATCACGCCACGCGATCAAATTTTCATATTTAATGATAACTACCGATAGAAATG